TCAGAACATACAGACAAGCTGAATGTTTCCATTCCAAAATTCCAAATGCCAAAATGCTCCCAATTCCAAGACTTGTTGAGAGCTGACATGATGCCACTGGCAGAAAATTCAACTGCATAAAACTTTGTACAGTACATAGAAAATAATTAAAAATATTTTATAAAGTATTTTCAGGTTATATTTATAAATCATACATGAAATATAAATAACTTTCTGGTTTAAACTTCAGCAACACCCCTAAAATAATTTGTTATATTTATGTAAACATTCCAAAACTTAAAATTTCCAAAATCTAACATGTGTTTCATAAGGGATACTAAACTATATGCTCTGCGTTATACTATTTTGAGAGCTGGCTTTTCACAAATAGTTTTCATGTTCCTCTTGAGTTTTAGAGCAATGAAAGTAAAAGTGATAAAAATTACTTCCATTTTCATACCAAGGAAGTTGGTAAGTTATTATACATATTTATCTGCATTATTAATGCATACTACAATTTGAATGTTTTCTCTATTGTTCTACCCACAGTCTGAAAGGAAGTAAGCAGAACCAACCATAACATACATAGGGAGAAAAAAAAAAGCTATCAATGTGGATGTGACATATTGAATCATTAGGGAAAATGAATGCTCAAGTGTTCATTTTAAAGGAGTCTTTGAACATGGCAGATACTCCCAATCTGTCCTTTAATTTCCGAATTAGTATGTTATCCTCAGTTTCTTCCTCTCTAAATGCTTCTCTAAATCTTCAGCATATGAACTCAGTACTAGTCTGCCCAACTCTACTGTTTACTGTGTAGCCTCAGATAATGTAAATTTACTTAATCTCTCAAGATTCTATCTTCATTTGTAAAATATATATACTAACATATCAATGCCTATTAATGAAATATTAAATGAGTTAATATAAGAAAAGCACTGAGAACAGTGTCCAACACACAATAATGCTCAATAAATTTCACTTTTAGTTATTACCACCTTTCTCCCTATACTATGCCAGAAGGTTTAACATTCCAACTCAAGTACTGCAAAGTCTCTATTCATTGTAACTAAAAGATTACAGTTAGAGCACTATATAATTCAGTGCCACTTCTATATTTGTGCCCAAATTGACTGCCATGTTCAATATAAGTTCATCTAAAACCACAACGGCCATATCTAGATAGTGATCAGGCATATAAGGAAGATGATAACTCACAGAATACTGCAGAAAATCCTCAGTGGTCAGGCTTTGTTCATAAAAATGGGGTGGCCTAGAGAAGTCCTTATGTCTCAGTACCCATCACCAGATTTTACGGTAAAAGCTGCAAATTCTATCAAAAGCTAAGGAGAAAAAGTATTAGGGTGTTAAGAAATCAAGCCCAGAAGGAAATAGGACAAAGTCTGTGTGAGACAGCCAAGGAAGGCATCAGAAGATGAGAAAGCCAAAAGTGGTTTACAGTGGCACCAACAGGGGTGGGCCCACTTATCTCTTTGTAGAGCTGTCTAGCTAAAGCCTGTGTTTACTGTGAAGTGCTCAGGCCTTTAGGACAAGTTTCTCCTTTTGTAAGGAATATGACCCCAATAAGGAAGCTATGATGTCTAGTTAACACTACACAGAGGTAAGAAAGTTCTGCCTAACCAGGGCAAAAAGATCTGAGGATAGCTGTAGGCTAGTTTTTTCCTCTAGAAGCCACACGTAGCATGTCTTCTGTCTTCTATGGAACCAGCATCACATTTTTTTTTTATATTTTTTAAAAATCTTTTTATCTGTACTGGGGTTTGAACTCATGACCACTAGCTTGCAAGGCAGGTGCTTATGCTGCTGAGCTAAATCTCCAGCTGCAGCATCACATTTTGATGATTCACGTGATCCCACCCAACCCTCCTCCCATCCAAGCAGTTTCTGCAGCTGAGCATGGTAGTGAGAGCATATTCTTTGTTCTAAGAGTAAAAATTAAGGTAGAGGCAGCATGCTGCCTGTGGAAAGGTGAAGAAAGATATAAAACAAGCAGGGGGGTAGCAGTGAGAATTGCAGTGGGAAGGTCATCAAATGTAATTTTCTAAATATTTGTTTCACTTGTTACAAGAAGATATTTATGTTGTGCAGAGGAAGATGCTGATCAAACAAGGTTACCACATTCTGAGTCTTCAAAGCTTAAATGTTACTATCTGTCTATAAGTAGAACAAGGTGCTGATCTTTGAAGTGGAAGCATGAAATGAAGTAGAAGTGTGTGATTAGGGCTGTGGGGCAGAAATATTTTTGAGAAAGGAGAGGAAAGACGCCAGGCCCCTTATGGAAGAATCAGCAAGAGGAGACACAATTATAGAATAGTAAACTCACAGACATTTCATAGTAAAAGTTAGAAATCAATTAGTAGCTTGTGATGACACCACATGTAACCATGCTGCCTGTCCTATAGTTAACCTATTCAGTCAGCCTTGACTATCTGTGTCTGGCTGCTTTTCCCTGATAATGCACTGGATCTGCTTTATGTCCAGCTGCAATGCTTGTGTTTTTTCCCTACTAGCTTGGTTACTTTTCTCTCATTTCTGGAACAAAATACTCAACACCCAAAATAAAGGAAGCAAAGGTTTATTTAGCTTATTGCTTGTGGAGGCTTCAGTCCATAATCAGCTGGTTCCTAGGCAGGGTGGCATGGCACCAGGGCAGTACTTCAAGGCAAAAGCCAGCAAAAACAGCCAGCGCAAGGGGGAGCTGGCAGTGCAGAGTAAGCCTCTTCACATCTCTTATACTGTAAGCAGGTTATGCCTCTTGGATGGACACAGCACTCACACCCTTTGTGTGCCTCCTCTTGCACAGGCTGAGGCTGTTACCAAGGAAGGCCCCTAACCCTCTGCTGAATCACTTAAACTTCTGATGTTCTCAGATTGACACAATGAACAACATCCTAGAGCAGTAATGGCTTGTCCTCCACACCACAGGATGTAGAGCTACTGAGTCACTTAGTTAAGCTTCTAGACTTCTCAAGTTGACACAATGTATCAACTACAATACCTACTTAGAAAAATACAGTTTTTCCAACTCATTTCAAGGACTTCCATGTCTGAGACAGACTAGTATAGTCAAGGACATATTTAATTCTACTTTGGGCACTCATATCCCCTCCCCTCATTCGCAGAATGTTCCTACTTTATGATAAACAATTCCTTTTCAGTAAATCTACTTAAAACTAGCTTGCTTGAACATATGACTTGATTCAATCATGAATTAACTTGCCATCAGCCTTGTACTTCCTGCTTGTAAACTGTATTTAAACTGAACTCTAAACTGACCCAGAGCTAGTGATTTGGAACTGATTCCCACCAGCCTGCTAGCATAATAAAAGTTGCCTTCTAACTTGTTGGTACAGGGTACAGAGTCACCCATTTGATTTGATACTGTTTTTTTCTACACCATCACAACTAGAGTGTCACTTTGACATGGTAGCAACCACAGACAACATGAAAGCAACTAAGTGTGGCTGTGTTAGTCATCTTTATTGTCTCTGAGGAAAAAAACAAACAAAGAAACAATCAAAAACACCTGAAACACAAAACTTAGAACAGGAAAGGTTTATTTTGGCTCATGGTCTGCTGGCTCCAAGACAGAAACAGCATGGTGGGAAGATGTGGTAGGGGCAGAAACAGTATGGTGGGAGGACATGGGAGAAGGAAGCCAGGAGGAAGATTACATGAAGGAAACCTGGAAGAAAACACACCTTTCCATGGCAGGCCCCAAGCAGCTGATCTCTAATCAGGCCCCACCTCTTAACAGCACACTAGGCCCTGAACTCACCAGAGGATGAATAACCAGCAATCGACTTACCTTTCAGAAGCCTTGCTTGAGCGTGTGGGAGCTCAAACTGTAACAGACCCAAACTGTAACAGTGATTGTTTCCTTAAAACTGAAAACTAAATATTGTACCATTTTCATACATCTGCAAATATTTTTGATTCTTTTTCAGTAATTTAAGGATGTATGAATTATTTGTAACTTATAGGCAATGTAAAAAGCAACAGAAGGCCAAATCGAGCCAAATCAGGCTGGGGCTAACAGTCAAGCCTGTCTGCTTCAATCCTCCATAAAAGGCAAATACTGGTAATCTAGCAACTATGGAAACTCTGTTTATTTACACCTAACATAGGTACTGAGTAACTATAGGTATGACCCCAACTTTCAAAAACTAGATTACCTGCTGGCAACTATGACATGCTGTTGGGTAACAAAGACAAGTTACTATCAGTCTTAATACACTTGGGCTGCTATAAAAAACAATAGTGGACTAGATGGATTATAAACGAAATTTACTTTCACAGTTCTGGAGGCTGGGAAGCCAAGATCAAGACAGACTTGATATCTGATGAGAGCCTAGTTCCTGGTTCATAGATGGTATCTTCTGTGTCTTTATATAGTAGACGTGCAAGTGTGTCTGTTACACTCAAATCATTTCAGTAATCCACACACTTTCCCACTTCTTAGAGGGATGCTGTATGGCCCATTCATCAGCCCAGTGTCTTGCTTCCTACTTCATAAGAAACTTGAAGGGTACCAGTGCCTTCTTACCCACAATGTCATTTTCTATGGCTTCTGCTATCTGTGCAGTACAGTAGTACATCATCTTACTAAAAGGAGGGAAAGGACAATACAATAAAATATCTTCAGAGAGAGAAAAAGAGATAAGAGAGAAAGAGAACAATAAGTTTAAACACATATTTACAGAATTTCGAATACAGTATACTATTATATTTTATTATTATTTATTGTTAATATTTCTGTGACTGATTTACATATTAGAATTACAGATATGTATGAGGGAAAAAACATAGTAGATACATTCAGTTCTCTCCATGGTTTCAGGCATTTCCTGCGATCTCAGGACATATTCCCAGCAGGTAAGCAGGAACAATGGTGATCAGAGGAAAACTTCCACAGTTCTCACCTATTTGAGTCCCCACCATATCAGTCAAAGTTTTTTCCTGCACATTCCCAATAAAATCAGCACAACAAACAAACTTACTTTGATTAGTAATGTTTGATGAAATACTGCTTCCTGCATTTGAAAAGCTGTCTGTCATGTCTCCAAACACCAGCATCATGAGAGGAAGCGCAGTTCCATGGATAACAGCAGCCAGAGTCCCCAGCACCATGTACAACCTGTCCAGCCTACTTGCATAGCGAAACTTAGAAAGAAAAGACATCACAGGTACAATCAGTATAGTTTCACAGATGGTTCACTCTTTCTTCAAAATATTTCAAAATCCAAACACTTTTCACATTATCATGTTACCACTTCAGTGTAAGCTACCCTCTGCCTTTGGTAAAGTACTTCAACAGAAAGGATAGTTTATTTTTCTAGTAAGAGAAAGACAAAGACAGAGACAGAGAGACAGAGAGAGAGTAAGAACAAGTAAGTCCAAACACATATTTATAAATTTTGAATACAGTGCTTTGTATTTGCTTTGTTTTTGACTGATTTATGCATTAGAATTTAGAACAGGTAGGTAAATACGAAAACGACATAATGGATATGTTCAGTTCTCTCCACGATTTCAGGCATTTCCTGCTATCTTAGGAGTATGCTCTGGACTAATTTTTCATAATGAATTTAATCTGTCTCTTTTTCTTGCATAATGTCCAATGAGAATTCTAAAAGGCTTTCATGGAAGTAGAGTAGAAATGCAGTACGTGTATTGGCTGTCCTGGTTTCTAAGAGTAATAGTTACTTCCCATCCCATAGGAACAAACTTAATATCACAGGCCTCTCTTGGGACCCAATTGAAGAAAACTTTTGTCATTTCAAGGAACTGTCTTGGCTTAAAAATCTGCTTCCCAGTGGGATTAGCATAAATATAAAATGATTTTAATATAATCAGGCCTTAATGTGAGGAAGGAGTGGAAAAAATGAGTTGGACACATGCCAAGGAATATTCTTCCTGAGAAGCTAGAATCTGGCCATAACAATTGACCAGTGCAGATCTTCTGACTTCTTTAATTGCAGGCAGGTCACAAGAGGGAAGGAAAGGCTTCTCTGAATCCGCAAAGTGATGGGAAAAGAACACAGCAAGAAGAATGAATTCAGGGCCATTTGGGAGAAATTTAGTGCTTCTCTTATATAATTCAATGACATCCACAAGGCAATCAAACATGTCCAGCAGAACAGACACCACAGAACGACTAGTACATCAATTTGCAACAGTATTTACAATGAGGATGAGACTGTTGTATGCTCAGGAGACAAAATATTCAAAAGATATCACTGACTGGATTCTGTTTTGAACAAATCAACTGTAAGTAACAAGTTTTGGTGATAAGCTGAGATATCTAAATATAAATGGAACACTGTATAACATTAAAAAATTATTCTTCATTTTGTTGAATATGATCATCCCAATATATTTTATTTATTTATTTTGGTACCAGGGATTGAACTCATGACCTTGAGCTTGCCAGGCAGGCACTAATACTACTGAGCTAAATCCCTAGCCCTCCCAATATGTTTTAAAGAACAATGTTTTACAGTAAAAATTTTGAGAGATAGCAAATGAATTAGTTTGGAATGAAATATTATGAAATAAATAATTTCCAATGTAACATTTAGCAAAATGTTAATTATTAGATACAAATGATGGCTATGAGTGTGAATTTTACTATTATTCCTTAATATGTTTGAAATTCTTATCATAAGACGTGGCAAAGAGAAGATGGCTCTCAAACAGGCAAATTCATGTCTCTTCCTCTCGTCCTGAAAGGAATGAGCTAAGAGTAAATACAGGTATAAGGAAGCTGCCAGAAATAAACACACAAAGTGGAAGGAGTCAGAATTTTCATGGCTGGAAACAAGAGTGATTTCTGGAGAGAAAGGGTGAGAAGAGGACTTGGGGAAAGTGTTAATATAATGCTGAGGAGGACAAGAGCTGCAGTTAAATGCCACAGTTCTGTAGTTTGTTAGGAAACAATTTTGGAGAAAAAATATCTCTTAATAAACTTTAGCCTTGGTTTCTGCATTTGTAAGATGAGGGCAATATTCATATATACAGGAAACCTTATACAGTTCTCATGAGGTTAAAATGAGACTAGACACAAACCAGAGAATTACTATCATTGGTTTTGCAAATGGAATTACTAATAAGACTCTTCAAGTTCACACAGTCAAGAAAAAGACAGAAAAAGTTTTAATTTACATGAAATGCAATCCACCCATATGAATAAATATAACTGGAGGGATTCCTTTTTAAAAAGTGGAATGAAAAATATCTGGTTAGATGTTAATCAGAGAGAGACAAAAGGTGAACTAGAATCACACGAAAGGAAGGTTAATCTGTGATGAAACCCAAGGAAAAAGATTCCCAAGGCAGAAAGGTAGAGGGTTCTGGCAGTAAAGTGATTTATACAACATTCAGTACGCTAGACACCAACATGATGTTACCAAAGTGCCCAGTTTGCAAAGGAAAGTCAATAAACTCCATTCATTCAACATTTTAGAAGTATCTGATAAACACCAAATAAGGCTGCTCCTTGGTTCTGGGCACTGATAACAACAGTGACTGAGAAAAGCTCCTTGCCCTTATGAGACATATTCCAGTGTTAACAGCAGAAGAGAAAATAGATCTATTCAATATTTAGGCACCTATTAAAAGTTGCAAGTACTATTCTAGGCACACGAGGCACACCCTTTGTACCCTGATGGAGTTTACATTCAGAAAGAAGACAAACCTGAACAATAAATCAGACTGTGATTAAATATTAATGAATAGAAACATCACACAGGGTCATATTCCATAATGCTAGGCAGAGGCAACTAGTTTATCAAGAAATATCTCAATGAAAAAAGATCTCAGGGACAGGTAGGATGCAATTTGTCCTATGATTGCCTGGGGACAGGGAGTTCAAGGAAGGAAGAGCAAATATAAAGGTTCTTAGTTGGAAATCATTTTGGTATGTCTAGGAATTACACAGAATGGATACTGTGTGGCACAGCAGTGGAAGGACTTATTTACAAACTCACAGATGAGACAGAGGTCAGGTTATGTAGAATACTGCACAGCTTTAGAAAGAAGATTGGGTTTTAGTCTCAATTTCGCATATACTGGAAAGTAAAACCAGTATATGGTTTTCCAACATTTGGAGAAAGGGAATGAATGATGCCACATGGGTCCTATGGGGAGATGTTTAGAACTAAAAAAAGAGGAGGGATACTAGGAAGAAAGAGGTCGACAGAGTGAAGTCTTGACCAAGAATAGTAAGAAGAACAATAAAACACACACACACACACAAAAGAAGCAGGTCACCACCCTAATCCCAGGCACTTGTAACTATGGTTTTTATATGATAAAAGAGACTACAGATATTAAAGATCTTTGGATAGGGAGATCATCATGGGTTATCGGGTTGACCCAACGGAATATCACAAGATGTTTCTAAGAAGCCGACAGGCTCTGAGTCTTTAAGGGATGTGACAGCTGATGTAAGAGGCTGGAGTAATACAAAGAGAGACTACAGGTCTTGGAATGCAAGTGCCTTCTAGAAGCTCCAAAAGGGAAGGAACCGATTCTCCTTTTCTCCAGAAGGAATGAAATCCTGCTGTCAGCTTGATTTAACTCAGTAAAAAGTCTGAGTCTAGAACCATAAGGTAGTAAGTTTTATTGTTTTAGGCAAATAAGTTAGTTGGGTATCTGCTACAGTATCAAAAGTAAATGATAAGACAACGTCAAAAGAAGGATAGTAAACCAGAATGCTACAGGTGGAAAAAATGAAATGTTCTGGTCAAAGAGTGAGACATCTGAGTTTAAGATTTTATAGAAAAAGCTGTCTGTGGGAATAAACCCAACGGCCTCACTGACAAGTGTAATTTACTAAGAGTATGGCTGAAGTTGTTGCAACTGAAAAGGTCAAAGGATGTTGAATTTCACACTATGAAGAGACTAAATAATAGGAGAACCATAATCGCAGCACAGTGAATGAAGCTGAAGCAATCACACCCAAAAGTCCTCAACGAAGAAGGCATAACAAAAACCTGATACAGATTTCCCCTCAAAATGGATAGGAAATTGTATAATTCTGCAGACTGAAACTCAAAGGAGAAGGGATTGTTATGTGAGGATCAAAAAATTCTTTAAAAGGCTGTGTAGAACTATTGAAATGTTAACACCATCATTATCTCCTGATAACGAGTCAAGGAACTTCAGTTTCACAGGCAAAAGTAACTCAAAGAAAAAGCCAAGGTTAGGAGAAAAATCAGCACACTAAAATCACAGAAGGTAAAAGAAGAAAGAATATGGTAAACAGGGTTAAGGGTAACTGAGAAGTCAAGAATTTTTAAACTTCCACTGAATTTTAAGAGTAGTATGGACAGAAGCAAGATACCACAATCTAAAAACTGGAAGATGAAACAAGACATAAACATAGGCAACTCCTGTGTAAAGTGTCTAGGTGGGGGCTCCAAGGAGGAATTGGGAAAATAAGAGACGTGACCTGTCCATGCCCATGACAGAGCAGAAGGTAAATACAGGGAAGAGAACGGATGATAATAATGATATAAGGCCTTTGGAAGACAGAGGAGATGGGAGGCAATTACAAGTGAGTGACTCATTTTTAAAACTAGGTGTTCCCTCTGTTTCAACAGAATTATCAGTAGAAGAAATAGATCCAAATTGAGGTAGGTCTGTAACATTACTATAGTTGTTAAGAGTCCTGGAGTGGTTCTTCATATAACAATAAAAGTAACTCAAGTTGGCAGGAGGACCAGGAATATGGAAAGGTAGATACGGATGAAGGTGGCAAAGTCCTCCATGAGCAGGTGGTCAGAACACAACAGTGTTAATAAAAAATTCTTTAATTCTAGTCAACAGTGTAAGCAATCATAAATAGTCATAAATAGCTACAGCAATTAAACCCAATAAAGCATGAATGGGCAAAATCTGACCCTGAACCTGCCTACTTATTAGTTATATGACTCTATGACTTTGATCACATTTCAAAACTTCTCTGAGTCTGTTTCTTCATCAGGATAATACAAGGATAACAGCACCTACATTACAAGGTTATTGTGAGGATAAATCAAGTAATGCATGTAGGATATATAACCACTTAGTACTTAACACTGACAGCTATTATCTACTTAAGAAATACTGATGTTGCAATAAGGTATGTAAGGTGGAGAGGTTAAGTAGAATCTGCAGCACAACTCTGGCAAGCACAGATAACCTTTAAGGAGTTCATTTTGTGCAGGAATGTTAGCCCAACTTTTATTTTGTTTAATCTTATTTCCATTATTCCCGTTTCTTTTCCTGTTTTCAAATTTATTCTACTTTTGAGTTTCTACAAATGCTTACACAAAGCCTGATATAAATAAAAACTAGCAAAAAAATAAGTTGGGCTTTATTTCTTCTTTGAACACTTTGTTAAAATGAAAGTCTGAGTAGAACTAAGCTACCAGGCATTGTGTGCAGGAGAGTTCTGCAGTGTTTAGGAAGTCCTATGTGCAAGATTACCCTCAGCTGTCTCCTAGAACTCAGACTTGGGAATAGTCACCATTAGTCTCATGAGTGAAGGTAAACAAACTATACAAGCTGTGGTTTATGCTGAACATCTTCATTTTTCTGGTGATAGAACGTTGATACAGTCTGGAAAAATGGTGCTGGGAAAAAGGTGCCAACATGATCAGCACCAATAAAAACCTGAGGCATTGGGTCTGAGACTTCAGTAACTTCTCCTGCTACAAGTTACTGCTGGGGAAAACAGGGTGAACTACTGTAGAACAGGACTCGGAGCCTGTGCCTGGCTTCCTGAACATCCTTCCATGTGGCTTCTATCATTGTTAGTTGAATTTATTCTTATTTTGTAATCATAAATCTTATCTGGGCAGTATCACAGACAATGAGATTTGGAAGAGCTGAGTTGTTGCTTATTGAAACATTTCCCAGTGAGGACAGAGCCATATAGAGTCGTACAGAGACATACACAGTCCTCTCAGCAAGTCACTGAACCTGGGGCTCTTAGAGCTCCCTGATATGCACAGGTCCTGACCGTTCCTAGAAACTGAAAATGTTAGCACTGCTGACAAGACCACTCTACCATATAAATTCCTGATTCTGGCCCTGTGTTTAAAGGTTTTAGAGACAAGGTGGGTTCACAGTTTTCTATGTCAACTCTTCAAGAAAAAGATGGGAAGAATCACTAAGTAGTACAGTATTCCATCAAAGGGTTTTAAATGTCTGCTATCTATCTCGAATCCACTTTGCGTCCTGAGGCAAGTCATGTCTGGCCTCAGTTTCTTCATTAGTAGAATTGTAAAAACAGGATCTACTTCAAATAGAGTTTTAAAGCTATAAGACTATAAAGTCCTTAAAATAATTCTTTGCACATACCACCATTATTGTTTTACATTAGAACTCCATATTTTATTCTTTAATATTGATAGCATTACCTTTATAAAGTAGGTCCGTTATATTTTGTAAATATAAAAATTCTAAGTTGTTTTTATAAATTAAGTTACAAATACTAAAAACTAATATAGAGGGCTGGAGGTGACACAGCCTGTATGACATTCAGTTTCCAGCATCATCACCACTCCCAAAAGAAGAAAAAAGAAAAGAACGGAAGGAAAAGAAATAGGTATAAAAGCAAACAAAATTAAACTATAAAAGACAACTTTATACATCAAAAGAAATCATCAATCGAGTGAAAAGAAAACACACAGATTCAGACAGAAGACTTCTATCTAGAATGTATAAAAAACTGAAAAAAATGAGGTCCCCCAAGTTCAAAGACCCAATCCAAAAATGGACATCTGAGATGAATACACAATTCTCAGATGAAGAAATATAAATGAAAATAAATACATGAAAAAACGTTCAATGTCATTCATCATTGTAGAAATGCAAATTAAAACAACACTGAGATAACATCTTACCACATAAAGAATGGCTAACATCAAGATATCAACCAAGAACAAATGCTGAAGGGGTTGCGGGGAAAAGGAACCCTTTTCCATTGTTGATGGGAGTGTGGACAGTTCCACAGTGCAACCACTGTGGAAATTAGTGTGGAGATTCCTCAAAAAACTAAGATTACAGATTCCATTTAACCAACTATTCCCCTTCTGGGTACTTTCCCATAAAAACTGAAAACATCATATCACAGCAATATATGTGCACCCACATTTATAGCTGCACAATTTGTGATAGCCAGATCTTGGAAACAACTGAAATGCCCATCAACTAAGGACTGGATAAAGAAGATGTGATATTTTTATACAATGGAGTATTTTCAGCCATAAAGAACAATAAACTTGAGGCTTTTATAGGTAAATGGATTCAACTAGAAACCATACTAATAAGTAAATATCATATTGTCTTACTAGTGTAAGACACTGAAAGAGTAAATAAGATTCTAAAGTTACAACAAATATAATAAAAGGGGAAGAAATTGCTCAAAGAGAAATTATATTGTTTGACCAATCCTGCATGCCTGTGTCTGGTAACTTGAGCAGCTATTTTGAAGACAACAATATGCAATATAACAACCATTGTTAAATTCCTATCATCTAGGTTTTAAATCCCATATTGCTATTTTTTTGTTGTCATTGTCTTTTTGCTTTTATTGTTGTTGGTTTTTTTGTTTGATTGATTTTTTATTTTTCTGTGATTTTTTTCCTCTTTAAAATAAAAAAACTTTTCTCTATAATTAATATCTAAAAATAAATAAACGAAAGATAGAAATGTCTTGGTGCCAAAACAACAAAACTAAAATTAAATTTAGGGGTAAATCTGATTTTAATATAAAAGTTTCTTTCCACAAGAATGTAAAAATGAAATCTTCAATTCTGTTCTTCGGTGATTCAGATAATCTTTCTGTGAGTGTCTGAGCCTCTGTCTCATCTTTCCAAATCCCAAAGAAGAGATGATAAGTAGAGAAACAGTAGCACGTGAAGGTGAACAGGCTGTGAACAATTGCAGAATGCTCAGCGAAAAAGTCCCATGAGTCATGTGTCCCACCCACAGCTATGCTTATTTTTAAATGTTCAAATCCATTTTCAGGACATTCCACCTTTTCCTTCCCGTTTTAAAAAAATGTTTGCTGGGTAATAAGTGAATATAAAGGCCATGCTTCAATACTTAGTTGGTTCAATAGTTTCTAGGTACCAGTACCTGAGGCGGTTCAGTCAGAAATGCACCTAAGTTCACTGTGTGTTTTTAGAAAAAGAAATAAAGATTCAGGGAGCTAGAGATAATAGCAAACATACCCTTAAAATGGACACAATTCGAGATCACACTCATAAGTGAACTAAATCAGACCCCCATGTGTAAACTCTGTCTTGTGCGTCTAGTGTGAGAAGCTGAATGAGTACATAAGATCCAAAATGTATACTAAGATATTGTGAATGGGAAGAAATTATTCAATAGAAAAGAGACACTGTGATGAAGGAAAGGTTAAGAAAGAAAGGGAAGAAGGAAAAGATATCTGTATACACAAGATAGTGAAGATAGCTACTATACAGCCAGTTTCTTTCATTGAAAGTCTGTGCTAATATTATTTGGACAATGTCATACCTGTATCTTGTACTCTCAGTAACTACTAAAAAGACAACAGTACACACTGTATTAATTATAACTCTTCTACTAATCTGTTTTGAAACTGTGTTTCACTGTTATTTTTATCTTTTTTCCTCTTTAAAAAATACCCACAAGTTCCTTTTTTTGGATGGGAGATACTGGGAATCAAACTAATAATCTTGTGCTTTCTAGGCAGGCACTTGTGCCGCTGAGCTAAACCCCCAGCCCTTATTTTATTCCAAGAGTAAAGAAAACCTAAATAATCATCATGAAACCAGAAAATGTAATGAAAAATTATGTTACAGTTTTCAAATTTTAGCCACGCAACAAAGAGAAATAATGGTATATGCTAAGTCACGGTAATAAATAGTCCATTGCTATGTTTTATTATTATTATCTGCTCTTAGGACTTTGATCTCAAACTTGCCAGGATCACAGAGCCATTAAAGATGACACACAATATAGCAGGCTTGACCGATGGCAAAGACCATCATTCAGGGAAATGTCTGTGTAAGGCTCCCATCCCTGGCAACATAACTAACTACTTTAACCTATTCCAGCAAGGGTGGCTGTAGATATCCCATTCTCGTGGAAATTATGAAGAGCATTTCTCTGAAAATAAGCCAAATCTAACCAATCACTTTGCATTTCATTACCAGATTGTCTAAGAAATACTTCTTGTCTAGGAGAGGAAAAGTTAACTTTTCAAAATACTTTGAATAAGGAACAAATCCAAAACTCACCATGGCAAATACACTGACAGCTGGTTTCTTTTCCTTCTTCTTTTTACTAAAAAATAAAAATAAAAGAATTACACAAACCTTTTTAAAGATACACAATTTTTAGTCACTAAATTAATATTCAGTCCTTATATTTAGTGACAGAACAAACATGTTTATACTATTCAGTAAAAAATAGTTAATAATATGATATAACTTATAAGGTTAAATACAAGTATGCTTAAATGCATCTTAGATATCTATGTGCATGGTTATCACTGGATGTTGAGATTTCTAAAAAAAAGTGTTCTTCCTTGTGCCTTGCCTATTTCCCAGTTCTCTATGGTGAACAAACACAATCAGAAAAGATTTCATATTAAAATGAGTGTTTCTTCTTTTATCTTAGACAATCACTCATTTCCTGTGAAATAAATTTTCTTAATCACCATCTGAGTAATTCCAAAAGTCTGTGAAATGTGAAAAGTCTGTTTGTAGGCATTAAAAGGCCAGCTGTTATTCTGAGTCTAGATTCAAGTGACTCTAACTCAGTAACCCAAGCTCTCCGCTGTATGCAGCTTCCATCTTAGATGTGAGAACAAACTAACCAGAACAAACCAGTCACAATTTCATATGCAGAAAAGAAAGACTATTTTAGAAAATAGCATTATTTTTTTGCTGAGTCTTTTAAATTCAAAATTTAAGGTAATCTCTGTCTTTGCTCTGTAGCATAGGTAAGGTCAGAAGCAGCAAAGCCTCCTAAAGAAAAAATCCAGTTTCCTCAGATCTAGCTGTGTAGTGGTGTTGGACAAACATACAGGAGTATTTTCAGGTTGAATCCCACCCTAATCCAGAGAAGGCCTGGTATAAGTAACCCTAGCAACAGAAGACATAGCCATAAATAGTTGAGGTTTATTTTGCTCTCAGATTATCATTTCTGTTTTTATCTCTAAAACAGATGCTACTTTGGAGAATGAATAGTATCAATAATATTCATAATATTCCAAGCAGTGCCTAAGTAAGAATTTCCCACATGATTCATATGGAAGGCAAGACTTTGTCCTTCGTTTAAAGATAAGAAAACCACTGAAGAGTGAGAAAAGTTAGCTACCTTGTCCAACATCCCACTCCTGGAAGAAAACCAAGATTTAAACTGCAAATCTGTCCTCTGACTACCAAACTGTTCAGCTGTAACCTGGAAGGGTTGAGAGCCTGCACCACATGGAAATATATTTTCATAAGAACGCTCACCCTGCCACTTAGCTCCATCAGCAGGAAATACTTTACAGAAGAAAATCACTCATGAAACCCCATTCTAATGAAGAATGTTTGTATGCATACAGATACTCCAGATTGTGTAATCTGTTAGCAAAGCCCAATGCTTCCTACAACCTCATGTTAAAATGCATAGCTTTAAGAACATTAAAATCAATGGTGATAAGCATGTTATTAAGAACTATTTAATTTTTTAAAAACCTCTACTTTAAAGTCTTTAGGCCCTAATAATAACAATACAGAATCAAACAACACTGTTTGCCATTATCCTCCACATATCTTCAATACTTCTTAATCAAATAATTGTCTTAAGAACATACTTTTTAAAACTATGTTATTTTATAACATATCTCACATCTTGGATATACCCAAATACAAATGGAACTGTACAGTAAAAATCACACTTTGAAGGACTTAGCCCAAATAAGAGAATGCAAACATTCTTATGAATAATTTTGACTATGTGTTTAAATAATTTGGATATATTATTACTTTAATTTTTCACAATTTACTTCATCTGTTTCCTTTTATTTTTAATGTTAGTACTAGAAATTTTTAAAATACAAATGTGGCCCATATTACATTTCCCTTAGACAGAACCAGTCTACAAGTTTGATTCGATTCAGGTTAATATTTTTGAAAATGTACCATCTATGTGGTGTTGAGTAATTTAATACTGTCAATTCCAGCCTCAGTGATACTAAGTCCAGTCACCATAATGAAAGTGCCAATTGTAAAATCTCTAACTGGAAAAGCACGTTTCCCTTCTGCCCATTAGAAACAACATTCCTCTGATGATTTAGGATACAGTCATCATCAAATCCTTGCCTGAATCAGTGATTACAACGAAGGTTCCAGCATGATATATACAGGTTTGCTTTTTAGTAAAGAAGGTTCTTTTATTTTCTTTACCTCTCACTCAGTTTTTCACCTCTTAGACTATCATTACGGCCTCAGTTGTATTTAGGTTTCAGAATAATTCATTTTCTTGATGCTCAAACCACCCCAAACTTGGCTAGTGGACAACCGGACAACCCCAACTCCCCAATCCTCTGTTGCTGTGTATTCTGAATATTCAGTCAAACTCTACATCCTTGTTTAGGGTACTACAACATTCATTCTGTATTGTCCCTGCCCCAAACCTAGCTCAAAGTCGCTGTTTTTCTAAGGGCTGCTCCTTCCTTTCAGAGAGAAACAGTATTCAGAAACCCATATCTGGCACGGAGAATCGAACTCAGAACCTAGCACTTGTTGGGCAGACTGTGCCGCTGAGCCTACATCCCCAGCCCTAAGATGCTTATTTCTACAGTCCTTTCTGTGGATTGAAAATGAGTGATTTAAAATTATGAGTCACTTTTGAGGATTCCAAGTCAAATTTCACATTCCTTTTTAAACATTTGATTTAAACATTTATATGTTTTTCCTTACCCTGGAAAGCTCCATTTTACTTGGTATCACACTTATTTGTTTTATCTTACAATTTACTTTTTTACTAAATTCACTTTTTTACTAAAGATGAGGCAATTGTGTGAAGTTTAAAATTTCACACATAGGCAGAATACCATGAACAAAATGTACTGAAAGTAATTACTTCTTCTCTGCGGTTACATTCCCACTCTATAGACACGTATTCATTACCAGTGACGACACGATGTAAAAAACAACCCAAATGCATCATTCGCAGGATGCTGCATCCACGGCAGAGCTTCAGCAGAATGAATCTCACGCGCGTGCAACACAGAGCAAAACACGGCAGAAGGAGGTGGTGCGGCCCAGGCGACCCCACGGGCAACCTCCCTGAGGGCCGGGGCCCAGGACGTCGTGCTCGGGGCCGCCCCGCACGGCCAAGTGCAGAACCTTAGCCGCCGCCCGCGCTCGGAGCGGGGCCCAGAACGCACCGCCCGCACCCCAGGCCGCCAAGACAGCAAGCCGGCTACCTGTCCTCGCCCATCTTCGGCTCCTTTACTGCTCCCGCACTGGGGTCCGCTTCAGCCACCGGCCACCCGGGAGACGCCACAGCCGCGGGCCGCGCCTCGGACCGAGTCGGAGGAGAGGCCAGGCGCGGGCCAGCCGGGAGTGGCAGGGAGGCCCGGCTCCACCTGCCCCGGCCCCGCCCGCGGCCCGCCCCCGCGGGACCCCGCTGTGCTCGGCCGGGCCTGGCCCCGCGCGGGGCCGCGGGGTGGAGCCGGGCCTGGCTGCGCGCGTCCCCCGCTGTGCACAAACGCCGTGCACCACCCGCTCCGGGAGGGATTTCCGCGCCTCCGCCCGCCCGAGCCTCCGGACCCGCAGACCCGGGAATCGGAAAGCCCGACCCTTCCGTCCCGCGCCCCGCGAGCCGCTGGGCCTGGGCAGAGCGCACGGGCGGCCCGGGACCTGGAGCCGCTCCTCGCCGCCAGCGCCGTCCTCGCCGGGAAGGAACGCGCGCTGCGCGCCAGGCGTGCGGGAGCGCACGGTGAGCACGCGGCCGGGTGGGGTCCGCGAGCTCCCGGCCTCTGCGCCGCCGCGGGGGTCCTGGGGTCCCCGGAAACGACAAGGAGGACAGTGCCTGCTGGGCCGCGGTGCAGCGCGTTGGGCACCACGGTCCTCGGGCTCAAGTATCACAGGGGCGCTTTCTGGCTTCGGAAAACAACGCGGGACCCTGCGCACTGTGTGAATTTCCCCTCCCTGCAACATCTCGGAAAAGACGGAAAACTTTGCCTGCCCGAAGCTTTCTTCAGTATGCTTGTCACTGTCTGAGTTAGATCGTCTCTTTTGAGATAAATAGGAAATAAAAAGGAAGAGTTTCGAATATGTTTAGTTGGAGATGGGCATTTCAGAGGAGAAAGGGTATTTTTAAGAGATGTAGTCTTTTAAATATTAGCTGATAAATCAATGTCTGTGTTTGTCCCAGACTATTTCAAGATCCAGAGCTTTTTCTGCTTCTTTGATACACTGAGGAAAGTGCTATTTTTCGCGTTTAGTCTTCATTCTCGGTCACACACGCTGCAACTCAGCTTGCAGCAGAATAAAATCTATTTACTGCACAGCATATTTAGTATATTTCCCCTACTTTTTGTAACTAACATATCCCAAAGCCATAATTTTCTTTTTTCCAGTTCCCCTTAATTTGCCTTTTTCTTTGCTGTATAATCAAATTTTCTTTACAAATTTTTAATTTGTTTTTTGAACAAGTAACAAATATTTCTCTGCTCTGAGTAGCACGTGCGCCTCATTGATTCACAGCGTCAGGCTCACCCACCTGTTGACTATTTGCCTGGACACGCCTGGGCAAGGGTGAAAGTTTTCATCCCACCTCACACACTTCTACTCAAGCCTCTGCTGTCTGGTTCCATTATCTCCCTGTGATGATTAATGACTATCAACTTGGTCGGGTTAAGATAAACCAGCAGATCCTGCTTTGAAGTTCTGTACCAATTTTGCTGCATTGTTTTGATTGGCTTTGTTCTATTTTGTTTTGCTGGATTTTACTATCTTTAAAAAAAAAAAAAAAAAAGAACACTTGTGAGTGTGTCTTGTGGCTAGGAGGGAACCCAGCTTTGAGAAACCTGCCAGCTTCCTGCCCCTTCCTCTTGATCCTTCTCCCCTGAGCCCGGGCGCTGCCCTTTTTGACCAAATGAGCTCTGGTCCCTGTGCCCTTGAAGCCAGCAGAACTTGGACTGTGAGCCAGGATAAACTATTTCTGTCCAGAATTTCATCCCTGGCAGAGGAGAGCTGCCCAGTAAACCCACCGTTAGTTTACACAATCCTATAATATTTTATAGATCCGTTTGGATGGCCTTACATTCTCCCTGGAACGGTGCAGGGCACACAAAAAAGGCTTCTGTTCCTCTGACTGTATTAAAGTCTCCAGCTTTCAGTGATTCTGCCTCTCAAGGATACAAGTGGATGAAATATCTGCAGAGGTTTTTCTGTTTTGAAATACTGCTCTCACATTTCATATCTTGAGTTTCTTTGCTACAGTGATATAAGAACGTGTATGTAAAAAGTGTGATGGCTCTGAAGCTGCGGGCAGTCCAGCTCTTACTCTTTCTATGCCGCAGCCTGTGACTTGACTTAAAGACACTTGTCTTGAATTACTGCCCACCACTCTGCCCAAAGTGGATTTGTTGGGTTCTCCTTGTGCTTCATTGGATCCTAGTGAAAACCAGTCACTCCTGCCCTTCTACATGTCAGGTATCTTCATTCAAACTGCTGTTTCGGTTTTGTGAACAGAGCTTTCCCACAGCCTGCTCCGCTGGTCCTCCACACTTCATTTCATCAACTGTCATTTCATCAACTGTCTGCCCCCTCCTGATACTCAATACTGAGTCCCTGCGGTACTGTATCTGTGCTTACTGTTCAGAATAGCAATAATAATAAAAAATAATAACTAACATTTTACTAAGTACTAGCCATGTTATCAGGAGCCATCGCAAGCACTTCAAAGGGATTAAGCCATTTAAACCTACAGGAACCCTATGGAGCATTGACAGTGTTGTTTCTACACAGAGGGAAACTAAAGTTCATGCTGTCTGCCTAAAGTCATGCAGCTAGCTGCAGCTGACGCAGGCCTCTATTTAGCTTCTAACAACTGCAGCTTTCTACTTCTCTAGCCTTCTCCACGCACTTCGTTTTGTTAGATTGTGTCTCGGTGTTCATTCCATTTCAGCCAAACTTGAGCCTCTCAGTTGATTTACTTGTTTTTTCTTTCTTGTTTCTCTTCTGTATGCAAATATTTATGTACAAAAAAGGTTCTTTTCTCCACTTAACTCCATTAAAAAATGTGTGCTTTAATACCTAAAATTGCAAAGGCAATACTGAGCAACAAGCGCAAGGCAGGAGGCATCACAATCCCTGACTTGAAATTACATTACAAAGCTACTGTGATAAAATCAGCATGGTACTGGAAAAATAAAACCAGACCTGAGGACCAATGGAACAGATTAGAAAATAAAAACACAACTAAAAACACACTCAGGTATCTTATCTTTGACAAAGGGTCAAACATTCACTGGAAGAAGGATAGCTTCTTTAATAAATGGTGCTGGAAAAACTGGCTCTCCACATGCCGAAGGCTAAAACTAGGTGTATGTCTATCACCATGTACAAAAGTCAAAATGGATCAAAGAACTAAATTTTAAAACAGAAACACTAAACCTACTAGAAGAGAAAATAGGTAAAAATTTTAAAAACAGGAGTAGGCAGAGAGTTCATGAACAGAACTCAGCCTACATGAGAAATAGTTCACAGAATCTACAGCTGGTATCTCATCACGTTAAAAAGTTTTGCATAGCAAAAAAATCACCAAAAGAATAAAAAGACAACCCACAATGTGGAAGAAAGTTAGCCAACTGTCCATCAAACAAAGGTCTTCTATCTAAAACTGTACAGTCTCAAGTAACAACTGTACTATTTTTCAATAGTTAGGAGCATACAGTGCCCACTGAGAGATTGTGTTTTTGCAGTTCTGCATCAAAAGTTTGCTACATCTATGTATTTCAGCACCAACAAGTCTCAGCCAATGTCACAAACCAAATTTCAGTGTTATCTGATATTTCTAAACCTAAAAGCCTAATGATTTTGCAAACTTAGGTGATACTTGATGCCTAAGTGATAACATTATTTTCTTACGTGTTTTATTTTCCATCTTTATGTCAATCAAATACTGAGTTAGCTGGTACAAAATCCAAAATGGAATACAACATGGGCCTGAAAGGATAGCAAGATCTCACAAATTCTCTAGAGTATTTTTCTCAGCCCTTTGACCATGTCTTGTGCTGTTAAAGAGAAAGCCATCTCCATCCTGCGCCTTTATTTCCAAATCCTGGGGTCCCAGATGTCGACTTACTTGTACCATCTTGACATGTGTGCTACGTGCACTGAGGTATGAGTTTCATGAATGTCAGTCAGTATGAGAGCAGATTAGAATCCGCAGACACTGTGTGCAGTTAGTACTGTCAGTTTTTCTTATCTACAACTAGCATATGTTAAGTGTCTTCTCATGGTGTATATGAACCAGGAAGGATCTAAATGTTTTTAGTCTCAGTTTAAAGTATAAAAATTTGATTTTGTCTCCTGCACGTGTAAGATAAATTTTGTAGCCTGCTGTGAAGAAATAAAGATATGGACCAGTATACAGAAGTAATCTTTAACCCTTTTAGGGACTGGAGTCTAACAACAGTTAACTAAATTTGTGGGACAGCACTATGGTGTTTAGGTTATGAAAACGATGTCTTATGTTTATGTTTTTTTTCTTTGAAATAAAAAAGACTTTGGCTTGTCTTTGTTGTTCTCTTTTGGATTGCATGACACAGGGAAACTCTTTGGTAAAAGATATACAATGAGGATGGATACAAAAGCTGTCCACAAGTGTAAATGGGTTGAGAAGTTGATCGCATCACTCTACCCTAGCCTTCAGACACATGCAGACCCACATTACCTCTACCGAAGTCAGGTATCTTGAACCAGAGCTGCAAAGCCCCATGCTGTTCCTTTATTCATAACTTGCAGAAATTACATTATAATTTAGAATATTATAATGTTATAAGTCACTGAATTTGGGATCATGTGTTCCAGAGAATAGAGTAGAGATTAAGAGCTACAAAGTCAGTGTAATCTTGGACTGGGAGACTGTTGAGCACCTCTGCAGTGATGCTGGCACCTTGCACAGGGTGTGGTTGAAATTTTCCTGGTTTTGTCAGCTTCAGAGAATATAAGGCATTCATATATTTTTACCCAGTGTGATGATTTTGAATAACACCTCATCCTATAGACTGTGTGGCTTGCAAGAGTTCCAAAGGCAGGAATAAAGAATGGGGCTGGTTTGTGGTGAGTGCTCAGCGCACTCTGCCCAAAGCCCAGACTGTTCGGGTCCCTCCAGGCTTCTGGGTGCAGTGAAGTGGAGAGGTGGATTTGAGGCATCTACATCCACCTCCACATCCTGGCTGTGCTTGGAGAGCTGAGGTGCTTCCAACAGACAGGTGTGCGCACAGTGTCCCTGAGGCCCAGCTTATCTGGAACTGCAGAGTTCTGAACAGGCAGAGGAGGGCCATTGGTTCTGCAGGCCCAGTGGCTTGGGGTAATGGGGTGCCAGAGTCTCAGGAGCTGCAAACATAGAAGGGGATTTCCAACAGACCCTGAGGAAGCTTTCAAATAACACTTGAAACACAGAAATATAGGAAAATGACAAAACGAAAGACCAAATTACAACCTCAAACCTCCAGCCCATCTCAAGAAACCCTAGGAGCAATGTATATAGAAGAAAATATATGCCATTCACCTCAAATATCGGACACAATAGCTACTGAAATTAACAAGCAACTCCAGGAAGCTTTAAAGAAATTCAAACTCGAAATAATATTCCAGGTAAAAGAAGAAATGATAAAATAAATGAAAGAGATTCTGAATATATCTAAAGAAAACACAGATAAAAAATTGGGGGAACTAAACAGAAAGATAGAATCCCTAGACGAGCAATATAAGAAACAAACAGAATACATAATGCAGATGCACAGAGATATACAGGAAATAAAAAACTCCACTGAAAGTTGTAAAAACCACCTTAATGAAAGTGAAGATAGAATTTCAGACCTTGAAGACAGG